CTCCCAAGTAGCTGGGACTACAGGCACCCGCCACAATGCCTGGCTATTTTTTGGTTGCAGTTGTCATTGTTGTTTTAGCAGGCCCAGGCCAGGCTCAAACCTGCCAACTTCAGTGTATGTGGCTGGCACCCTACTCACTGCGCTACAGGCACCAAGCCTGGGTTCTTTCTTGAAATAAAGGTACATACCTGTGTGTACAAATCTGTCTTGTATTGTTTTGTTTTTTGAGACACAGTCTCACTTTGTAACCCTCAGTAGAGTGCTGTGGCATCATAGCTCACAGCAACCTCAAGCTCTTGAGCTCAAGTGATCCTCTTGCCTCAGCCTCCCATGTAGTTGGAACTACAGGCGCCCACCACAATGCCCCACTATTTTTAGAGATAGGATCTCACTCTTACTCAGGCTGGTCTCGAACTCCTGAAGCTCAAGCAATCCACTCACCTTGTCCTCCCAGAGTGCTAGGATTAGAGATATGAACCACCATGCCCAGCACATGTTTGTACAAATTTGTGCCAACATATACTCAGGGGTCCTCAAACTTTTTAAACAGGGGGCCAGTTCACTGTCTCTCAGACCACTGGAGGGCCAGACTGCGGGCCCCGGGACAAGTCAGCTGCTAAGCAGGACAGGCAAAAATACCCTGTAGGCTGGATAAATGTCCTTGGCAGGTGGCATGTGGCCCACGGGCCGTAATTTGAGAACACCTGTATACACCTATTTGCACAAAATTTCAGTGTAGAAGGGTAGTGTTCACAGACACTAAGCTCATCCACCCCTTCCTAGTTACAGACTAATTTCCCTTGGAATCTACCCAAGGGTAGCCTCTTTTTTGTTTTGTTTTGATTTTGTAAGAAACAGACTCTTGCTCTCTTGCTCTATTGCCCAGGCCGAAGTACAGTGTGACATGATCATAGTTCACTGTAGCCTTGAACTCCTGGCCTCAAGAAATCCTCCCAAGTGTGAGCCACTGCCCCAGCCAAGAATAGAATCTTAATAAAAATAAGTTTGCTGGCTCAGTGGCTATGGCTCAAGTGGCTAAGGCACCAGCCACATACACCTGAGCTGGCGGGCTCGAATCCGAGGCTCACCAAACAACAACAGCTGCAACCAAAAAACAGCTGGGCGTTGTGGTGGGTGCCTGTGGTCCTAGCTGCTTGGGAGGTAGAGGCAGGAGAATCACTTAAAGCCCAGGAGTATAAGGTTGCTGTGAGCTATGATGCCTACCCTACCAAGAGTGACAGCCTGAGGTTCTGTCTCAAAAAATAATAATAAGTTTGCTGGGCTGGGCGCGGTGGTTCACACACGTAATCCTAGGACTCTGGAGGGCCAAGGGGATAGATTGCTTGAGCTCACAAATTCGAGACCAGCCTGAGCAAAAAAGTGAGACCCAGTCTCTACTAAAAATAGAAAAACTGAGGCAAGAGGATCGCTTGAGCCTGAGTTGGAGGTTGCTGTGAGCTATGACACCACTGCACTCTACCCAGGGCAACACCTTGAGACTCTGTCTCAAAAAAAAATGGGCAGCGCCCATACCTCAGTGGTTATGGTGGCTAGCCACATACACCAAGGCTGGCAGGTTTGAACGCAGTCTGGGCTAGCTAAAGAACAATGACAAGTACAAAAAAAAAAAAAAAAAAATAGCCAGGCATAGTGGCAGGTGCCTGTAGTCCCAGCTACGTGAGAGACTGAGGCAAGAGAATTGCTTAAGCCCAAAAGTCTGAGGTTGCTGTGAGCTGTGATGCCACAGCATTCTACCAAGGGCAATATAGTGAGACTCTGTCTCAAAAAATAAGAATAATGGGGCAGCGCCTGTGGCTCAGTGAGTAGGGCGCCAGCCCCATATACCAAAGGTGGAGGGTTCAAACCCAGACTCAACCAAACTGCAAAAAAGAAAGAAAGAAAGAAGAAAGAATCTGGTTTGATTTGCTAAAAAGAATAATAATAATTTTGCTTTGGCTTGACACTCATAGCACAGTGATTAGGGTGCTGGCCACATAAACCGAGGCTGGCAGGTTTGAACCCAG